CCTTAAAGTAAGCTACCAAGTTGAAACAACAGCTGCAAGAACCAACAGTAAACTAGGTAAACTAAAGAAAATATTTAGAAGTCTTCGACTCTTTTTGTGAAAAGTACTCTACAAAATTTAAATAAGACCCCAGTTAGAATTTGCTATTCAGACTTGCTCACCACATAATGAATACGCTACCTTTAGACGCCATAATTGTTGAATCAGTCAACTCGTTCAAAGATAGAGTTTACAAGTTGAATTTCAATATAGATAAATAATCGGACGCACGAGTGTCTTTTCATTTAGCATCGAAGTGCCTGGTGTAACATTTTCTCATCAAAACATATAAATGTAATATATGCTTATATAATTGATTTCTGAAATACATAAACTCAAACTCATACACATTGTATTATAAAATTTCATTATATATAGAAAGGATACGGAAAAGTTCGGTCAACTTTAAATTGAGATTTCTCTAAAACCATAAACGCTTTTTATTCAATTTTTTTTATATTAAATGTGTTTAAATCAATTAGGATTTTAACTTGATTTTAAGGAACTTGATGGGCTGTTTTGCAAGAGATCGAAAAAAAATTTATTATTTTATCTGACGACAATTTGGAGGATTCGTATCTTTAGGAATAATTTTCACACTACTTTGTTTGCACCACAATAGAACTTTTTTAGAATAGTGATAGGCAGCAAGATCTAGCTAAAAGAGACATCGATTCTGACTTTTTTTATAAGTTGCAAAAAATCTTTTTAGAAGTATTCTTTGATATAGAGATCGACAGTCGAGGTCTTTTTAATGACAAAATAAGAAACTAAAGAAAATATTTAGAAGTCTTCGACTCTTTTTGTGAAAAGTACTCTACAAAACTTAAATAAGACCCCAGTTAGAATTTCCAGACTTGCTCAGATTTATCTTTGTTTTCATAGTAAAATTGTTGGCTAGGAAGTTGTGAAAAACCCGCTTTGCAATCGGTTTCGTTGTTTTTAATTATGCACATACCTTTATCCGCTATTATTTTAACCAACTTTTTTGTGTGTTGAATTCCTTTAATTTCACCATTTAAGCTTCTCTTAATGGCATTTTTCTTATGAAATGGTTTAACTCTAGAATTTTTAAGTAATTTTTTGATATAAGAACGCTAACTCTTGAATTTTCCTGCTAAATATTGCAGTGACTGGTTCGGATTACTTGCTATTGAACTGAAAATCAACTTTTTAAATTTATGGAAGGTTTTCTTTCTTCCACTTCCAGGTTTTCCTTCAAAGCTTTGAGTAGTATTAAACTTGTTTATCTATGAATGTGATTATGACTAGATTTTGGGACGTACGTTTAGCAATCAAGCGATATAAAGTCGATGGATTTTTGCAAAAAAACTTTACAACTTTTTAACGTACCTCAATTTGTTTTCAAAACATTTTGCAAATGATTGATTTGTAAAGGAAAAATTTATCAACACAATAAAAGAATCGTTTAATTAAAAAAATAAAAAAAGTAAAAAGAATTTGTGGTATTTGAGAAATCTCAATTTGAAGTTGACCGGAATTTTCTACCCGATATTGTATAGCTACGTTATCAAAAGTATTCAAAAATATTTTCAGTTGAGAAAATGAAATTTTTTATTTTGTATTTGAAGACTGAAAAAATAAATGACAAATTAAAATTTGGTAAAACAATCCTGTTACAAAGATATGGTACACGATATTAAATAAAAAACTGGTTAAATCTTGTTTTACAAAGCGGTTCATTCTCAAAATGTAGTTAACATGATATTTCTATGTGATGTTCTCGACAAAAAAAACACCTTAAATTTTGTAACTAAATTTCTTTTTATTTCATCTTGATCTATAAAAATTAATGACTTATTCGTGGGGAAGGAACTTATTTTGGAGAGGGGATGAAAGAGAATCCATTTTATTTTGTTAAAGTTTACAGGTAAAAATTTCATAGTCGTTCATAGTCGAAAAGAGTTGGTAAATATTATTATTAGAGAGAAACAAATTGGTATCATCTAAAATCATGATACTTAAAAGATTTGAGGCTTTACAAAGGTCATTTTCATAAATCAAGAACAAAAGTAGCCCTAGAATAGAACCTTGCGGAACTACAAAATATTTCTAACAATTTTTTTGATATAGGGGAGAGTCGGGTATTGGCGAACGCGGGGTAATTCCGAACAAGGTCGTTACGGCATGTTAGAAAAGGATAGTTGACAATCTTTTTTTTTCTGACAAGAGTTGGTTCCATGCTCAGTTCCAGACGTGCAATAGTGTATTATAGATGCGCAGGTTCTTCAAGGTAGATTGATTTTAAGTTTTTCTCTTAGTTTTATGTAATTTTTATTTGCGAAACATTTATGTATTGGCTATACTATGTATATAAAACCACACATTTATTTATGTTGTTGCAAAGTATCATAATCATGGAGTTTGTAACACGTATTATATTTAGGGTATGATAATACTACCTCAATATATTCGTTTAAATTCATTTGGTTGGATCGCGGGGAAATAACGAACGATCTTAGTGAGGTAATCGCGAACGCTTATTGTCTTCAAAGTATTCTAGCGTATATGATAACACACGGAAGATTCTTAAATAAAGTTATTATACATTATTTATTTAGTTTATTATTGTAATATATATATATATATATATATATATATATATATATATATATATATATATATATATATATATATATATATATATATATATATATATATATATATATATATATGCTCTCAAATGCGTATAAAGAACAGAGCACTAATAAATTAGTAAAAAGCACTTATGTAATTTTGTATTCAATTCGTACTTTTACCTTCTGTATACAGAAGGTAAAAGTACACACACATACTATCAGAAAGTATCCAGGTCACCTTACATTTCATTCATGTAATATCTTATTTGGTTTGAATAAAATTTATTGATATTTGTTTCTTAAACGTTTGATTTAATTAAAATTTTATTCAATAATATTTTAACGCTTCAATCAAGTTTGATTTGCTTTGATCAACATTTTATTCGCTGTTAGCCAATAATGTTCGTGATTACACTGTATGTTCGGAATTACCCCACGTACGTAGGGTAATTCCGAACACCGAAGGTTTTGTTTTTAATCGAATTTTTTATTTTTTAATAAGATATATGAAAATTGCTCTTGAGTGATTCTAAACAAATGGTTAGACTAAATAATAAGCAAAAAATATCATTAATATATAGTGATAATTGTCTTTAATTCGCATTCCCGCTTAGCTGTTCGCCATTACCCTACTCTCCCCTATATCATTATAATAGACAAATTGTTTTCGATTAGGTAAATAGCTTTGAAACCATTGTAAAACTCTGTAATGTTTAAGTTTATGGAGCAAAATATCGTGATCTATAGTATCAAACGCTTTAGATAGATCAATAAAAATCCCGAATGTAAATTGAGAATTTTCAAAAGAATTGGAGATTTTGTATACAAACTTATAGATGAGTTTTTGACTTTATGAAAATCCCGGAAATTTTTTTCTTTGAAAATGTATGTGGGTAAATTCTGGAACGTTGGTAAAGGGATAAATAAAGAAACTAAAAACTACTCATTAATTATGTTTCTCTAAAATGAAATATAATATCTCAGTTTTAACATAAGCAACCTGCAAAGCGCAGTAATTTCTTTATATTTAAAATATAAAATGTAAGACAATGGAATTAATGTCAGGAATCAATACTTTTTTTTCTTATAATTTTCTGTTGTGAAGCATTCGTCAGCTTTTCTTTTTCTGCACTTTTTTGCATGATCAATAATAGATTCTTTAACTTTTTTGCACTGTTCATGTAAGGCAATTTTTTTTTTCCACGTTGAATTTATATTTAAAAATCTTTCTTCAACTTTTCTATTTTTCCGATCGAATTTCATTTTTTTATTATAACGTTTGCTTGCAGTTTGCAAATGACCACAGATATTTTTGTTAACTGGGTCATGCAATATATCTCGCCTTTTAAAGTACCCTACTGCTGTGGTCTCGTTTGCTAATAATTAATACTTAACTGAAGCTATAGCAGAGTACGTTAAAGTATCAAGACGGTTTGTCTTTTTGTTAACTATGGTGTTCATCATGCTGAATGATTGCTCAACATGAGGACTACTAAAAATACTTAAGCATGCCTTGATAATCTTACTAAGCTCTAAATATTTTTTACACTTAAAAACTTCAGCCCACCAATAGTCAAGACGTACGGGCTTCCCATCATCAAATACGGGTGGAAGCGCTATATCTATCTGAAGCTGCATAATTTCTCGATTAAATATTACTTTATTTATATCTACAGAGGGAAAGAAAGTTGAGAGTTTTTTTAGCATTCTCTCTGTAATTTCGTGACCTTGAGACATTGGATCGATTGCAGAGAGGCATTTTAATAAAGGGTTGTTAAAGGGTAATTTATTAAGTAAGTAAACTGACGATTCAATGTAAGCTTTTAGCAAGGTCTTTAAAAACGATGATTTGAAATCAGGATTTCGAATAAGTATTCTTGACAAATATTTTTCAGCATTACTTCCAAGGTATATGTAGTTCAAATGGCGATACATTTTTTTATCTTTCAGGTTTAAAAACTTCAACTTTTCTCCTGTTATATTTTTTATCATCTTTGGCTTAATAAAACAAGTTAAAATTGTTTTCACTAGTTCAATTTGCTCATCATAAATTCGATGGACTAACGGTTCTTTTTGTTCAAAAGTTAAAATGAATGATTTAAAAATAGGAAGAATTTCAACGTACAAATTAATATAAAGTAATGTTTCATTACGTCGGAAAAATAAACTTTTAACAATTCTAGCTTTTCTTTCTGCACCTTGTTTTGTTAGTTTTTTCTGCTGCATTTTACATTTTATTTTTTCTATTAGTTTCTGACTTTCATTTGATAGCCTCTTTAAAATTTTCTCACTTTCATCTTTATACAGAGAGATGTCTTGTTTTGATAGCCAAGAAGAATAAAGGTGAAAGCAGGCATCATCTCAAGCATAGGAAGAGTGCAATCTAAAACAGACAACCATCGATGACAAACCCTTTGCTTTGGAGTGTTGTATGTGACAAATATCACCATCAATATCAAGTAAGTGAGGAACCGCTTTTCTTAACCTTGTTTCAAACCCACTGATTTTTCCTCTCATATAATTGGTAGAATCTGATAAATTGGAAACAAGATTACTTAATGGAATTGCGTCTTTGTTAAATAAATGAATAACAGCATTAAAAAGACTTTCGGCATTTACCGTAACAAGCGATAATGACGCGTAGTGCTTTAATACAACTTTATTAGTTTTGTCGCAAAAATATGCTACGAGTATACTGAGAACCTTCTCATTTTTTGCCGAGAAGCACTCATCTATGTTAAGGGAGAACATTTTTATTTTCATATCAAAAACAAGCTTAGCATGAAAAGCTTCACCTAATCCTTCTCGAAGCTTATACGAAGCAGTTGTTCTGAACATTTTCGAATTTTTTAAAACACAATGATCTTTAGACATTTCCTTTGCGTATTCAATCATATGGGATGTTAAAGATATTGGAAGATTGTGTTCACAAATAAATGCGAGTGTCATAGCTTCTGCATTTGATGTCCTGTCTCTAAAACTTACAATAGGTTTAATGGTAGGCTTTACTCTTTTTGTGCAAGTACTGCCAATATGCACGTTATCCGGAGTGCCATATGGCAATATGCACATATCTGTTTTTTTTAAATTAGTAAAAAATGACGACGGTATGGCTTCGTTGGACTTAATCATTGCGCAGCTTTGACGATGCATTTTAGACTTTGAGTGGCTGAGTAAAGATTTTTTACCTTCACTTCCATAATAAAAGTCTTTATTACATATTGTACATCGTACCTAAAACATCAAATCAAATAATATATAACTATGATGAAGTTATATATTTCAGTGTTCAGTTAGAGAATAAACTTACCGCTCCGGCTTTATTTATCTTTGTAATATAGGCTGAATAATGCTCATCATTATAGTCTTTCTCTTGAAGCCAATTCCAGCGAAACTTGTTTTTAATATTTTTGTCTATCTCAGAAATGTCAGATAAACTCTTAACTTGCATTTTCTTTTCTTTCTTCTTGATAGTAATTTTTAACGACAAGATCTTTTGCAAACGTTTAAAACAGAATTTACATCAATTAACTTCTTAAGAAAAAGAATTTCTAATATTCGAAAAAGAATTTGAATGAATTAAAAAGAAAAAAATTTTTTGAAAAAATTGATCTCGTGAAAATTTCATTTATAGAAAACATAATTGCTTAAATGCAAACCATGTCGTATTTAAAATTTTATATAACTTTTTACAAATCAATAGCAAAAAGCATCCGGAATTTCCCGGAAACTTGATGTGAATTTCCGGAATTCCGGGAATTCCCGGAAAAAACTCATCTATGCAAACTGAATAATTGCATGTTCAGTTGATTTTTTTAAAATCTAAATTGATTTTTGTATAACAGATGATTGTTATTGAAATAATTGAGCATAATTTTGTACATAATTTTTTATAATTTTTTTGAGAAGGTATAAAGGACGGAGGCGGTAGTTACTAATATTAGTTCTGTCACCTTTTAAAATTAGAATAATTTTGGCAATTTTTATTTGATCAGGTAAAATTCCTGATCAATAGATGTTTAAAAAACTTTAAACAGAACTTTTAACTGTTCATAACACTCTATAATTATGTTTCCATTAATTTTATCAACTCCAACTGCTTTTTTTAAAAAAAAGATTTGTAGACTTTGTCTAACTCTTCAAAGGATAAATCAGAAAATAACTCATTAGAATAACTGTAATTATCTGTAGGAACTAAGAAATTACTAAATAAGGCTTTGGTGTTAAAAACCTTTCATGCAGGTTTCGGACCAATATTGATAAAGAATTTGTTAAATTCTTGAGCTTTAATACTAGGCTAATATATGCTTTTGCTATCAACTTTAATAAACTGGACTGAGAAGTTTTTTTACTTTTTCTAAACTTTTTCAAACAAATATTTGTAGTCTTTGTATGTTTTTCCAACCGCAGTTGATTTTTTGTTTTAAATATTTAAGTATAATTTTTGTTTTACTTCGGATAATTTTTTAAAACCTTAGTTATCCAAGTTTTTGAATTTAAATTTTTTGGGCTTAAAATTAAATTTTTTTCAAAAAAAGTTTTTTCACAAATTTTAAAGTTAACATCATAAATCGAATAAAATGTTTAGAAAAAAATTTTCGTAGCGGTGCTCAGTGATAAGACCTTAAGGACCTTAAGGGGCACCTAAAATAAATAAATTAATCAAAATAGAAAAAAAAATAACAGCGACTTTTTTTTATTAAACCACCGCCTTTCGGAAATTAAAAACGAATTATACACTTTGAATTAATTTTACTTTAAAATACACGCTTTGAATTATAAACACGTTTGCCGATGTTTTTGGCGTAATAATGCATATCAAAAAGAAGGTGCTGTTTATTTTTATTCATAGTTTTTAAATATGTTGTCTTTTAATAAACAAATTATATATAATGCATATACAAAAAAAAAAAAAACAGGAAATATAAGTCCTTTTAATTTCTAGTTTTTTAAATTCCTTCGTTATCTTTTGATAATATTACCTTATCAACAAATATTGCTGTTGCATTAATTCGCTAACGCAGCAGCCAGTATGCTTCTTTACTTTGTATTGAATTTAACTGAACGCATAGCAAGTCTCGCTCTCTTATGCTTCCTTCTTCACCACGAGCTGAGCACTTGGCGCGATCCAAGTTTGTAATTGTAAATAACGAGACGTATCTTCAAGAAATATATATTAAAGTAATCTTATCTATGTGAGTTAATGCTAGAGTCCTTTCCAAACTCTTTAATTACCTTATCAACTCTTTGTCTAAATTTCAGAATAATTAAGAAATATCCTAAAAAAGAAATTATTTGGATTTTCTATATCGTAATTAACTTTAATGCATAAACCTTTAACTTAGTTCAATGCTTTTTTAAGTACATTTTTGGAGTACTTTAACGAAACCTGTCCTCAAGAGATTATAAGAATTAAGTCAAAAGCAATTGCTAATCCGTGGATGGATAAATCGGTATTAAAGTGCTCAAAAAAAAATCGAAAACTTTACAATAGTTTTCTGAAAAATAAAAATATCACAGTAATCAAATTAACAAATTCAAATTTGATTGCAAAAAAACATGCTCCATCATCAATGTCATAATGGGAAGAGAAAAACTAACTTCACTTTCTCTACCTAAACGAATTGTAATTGAAAACAAAGATATATTTAGTCAAAAACAAATTTTGGAAGAATTCAATAAATATCTTGCAAGTATTGGTCCAAATCTTGTAAAAAAAAATAGTACCAACATCTGTATCATTTAAAACCTTTCTTAAACCAACAAATAATGTTATCATGTTTGATCATGAATTAACCTATGAGGAATTTGAGGCAGCTTTTTCCTCGTTAAAAAAAAAGGCTCCAGGATTTGATGAGATATCTAGTAATATAGTTATTGCAAACAAACAAAGTCTTAAAAGACCTCAAATTTAATAACAATTATGTTTGCTGATGACACTAATTTATTTATGTCTCACAAAAGCATTCCTACTTTATTTCATAACGTGAACATCGAGTTAATCAAAATATCTGACTGGTTTAAGACAAACAAACTATCCCTTAACATTGATAAAACTAAATGGATTCTTTTCCATCCTCTTACCAAAAAACATAAACTGCCAATTAACATGCCTCCACTTGTTATTGACAATATACAAATTAAAAAAGTTATAGTAAGTAATTTTCCAGGCGTTTGTTTAGATGAAAATCTTACATGGAAAAATCACATTAAAAACTTATCAAGTAAAATTTCAGAAAGTATAGGAATATTGTACAAAGCGAGAAATGTCTTAGATAAACAAACTTTAGTACAATTATATCACTCACTTATTCATTGCCACATAAACTATGCAAACATTGCTTGGGGTAGTGCAAATAAAAACAAACTTAAACCTCTTTACTGTCAGCAGAAGCATGTAGCACGTCTTATATATTTTAAAGACGTTATACTCATGCCAAGCCTCTTTTATTTGAAATGAAAGTTTTTAATATATATGAGATTAATATTTTTAATATTCTTTGTTTTATGTTTAAATGTAAAACCAATTCATCCCCGATTTCTTTCTGTAATTTGTATTCATTAAAAGATAAAAATAAATACATTTTACGCAATAATAATTTTATTAAGCAGCCCATTTTTCAAACAAATCTTTTTAAATTTTGTATTGATTATCGCGGACCATTCTTATGGAATAAAATAGTTTTAAAAAATTTTACTGATGATTTTATTAATCAAAGTAACTACTTTTCTTTTAAACAAAAGCTTAAAGAACTCATTTTTAGAATCGATGATTTAAAAATATACTACTGATATTTTTTGTAATCTTTATATTTACCATTTATTTAAACATGAACTTATAAAAAGTATATATGTATCATTAACAACTATAATTTACATATATAATAGATATAACGCATCTTATATTTATTATGGAGTATTTTAAGTTTCTTACTTTTGTTAACTTATTTTTATTTTTTAATCTTGTAATTATCTTTTAAATTTTAACACGAACATTTCTTAGCGGTACTCGACGACAAGACCGTATGGTCTTCTACGAGTCCCCGCGTTCTTTTATTTTGTAACAACAACCATTATATTTATATATAAATTTATTATTATATATTTGTATTGTAACGAAATGCTTATTTTACATGTAATAAAAAGAACGAAAAAAAAAAAAAACTATATATTTTTTCATAAAAAAACACAAGAAGAAAATCTTCCTCATAAGATGCCGAACTTATTTATAAATGATAAATTAATTAAAAAGCAATCCAATATAAGATTCTTGGGAATCGTTGTTGATGAAAAATTATCCTGGCTTCCTCATATAATATATATCCAGTCAAAAATTACCAAAATCATAGGTTTAATGAATCGAGTTTGCTCGTACATCAATACAAATAGTCTTAAATTAATCTACTTTGAGCTAATTCACAGCCTCATCAGCTATGCAAACATTTCATGGGCAAGTACTCAAACAGCAAAGCTTAAGAAACTTTATAGTTTTCAGAAACATGCCTGTGAATCATTTACTTTAAAAATAGGCGGGAACACGCTAATCCCTTGATGAAAGATATGAAAATGATGAATGTATTTGAAATAAATATCTACCAGCATTTAATTTTCATGTATCGTTACAATCACAATATCTCTTCTATAAGCTTTAATAATAAGTTTGAGTTAAATAAAAATGATAACTATAATCTTAGAGCGAATATGTTGAACACATATAAACTGCCTAGGATAATAAATAAATATTCAGAATACAGCATTTTATATCGAGGTCCAAAAGTATGGAAATTTTTTCAAAAAGGGTTCAAAGGTACGGTGAGTTTATAAGTTCATTCAAGTTTTTAACAAAAAAAGAAATTTTTAAAACCTGTGAAACATTTTTTGTTAATAATTCTCTTAAATAAGTTTTACTTTTGTTTGTTGCTTGAGAAATTTTATAAGCTGATTACGCATTTTGTTATGATATTTTATTGAAATTTTTATTTTGTATGTCATATTACGAGATTTTAATTAAATCTTGTTAAAGGGGTTCTATGAAAAGATTGCGATGACGTTCTGTCATCCTCATCTTCTTTGAGCCCCTATTTGTTTTACTTATTTTGTTAAATTTTATATTATGTAATGGATTTTTTAAAATTCTTATGTTATGTAAACAGAGAAAGAAAGAGATAAAAAAAAAAAAGTTCAAATCGTTTTTATGACCATATTTTTCGCCAATGTTTTTCAACTCTCTATTTCTCATTTGTCAAAGTCTGGTATAAATTGTGATTTTTAAACTTTATTCAAAACAACATCCTCCGCTAACGCCACCCTTCTCTATGAGACAAAAAAACCTTGACACATTATGGCCTACTTAATGTTATACGACATAATATTCTGTAATTTAGCAGAAAAAATAGAACGTCGGTTCAATATAGGGCTTTGTAATGATCTACATAAATTAAAAGCTTCATTTAAAAAAAAGAATAAGAAAAAAGTGTATTATTTAAAACATGATGTAGTGCCAGT